AAAGATGTTGTAAGAGAGAAAACTGGGAGAATTGTTTTGGTGAAAGTACCATACTCAGGTAACTGTCTATAAATACAGTGAGGGTGAAATTAAGTGCCTAACGACGACCCTAAGAATTGGAAAATATTAAACGCCCCACGTAAGGGCAGATTCCATACCCTAACATGAACAAATGCACAATGCAGTTGCTGGAACAGTGAAAACGTGACATTATGAAAGAGACTCTCGAGACTGAATCTCGTTTCATTGTTTCCTTACACCCTTCTACTTGCCTGTACTTACTTGTCCGTCTTACCAATTGATTGCATGTGCCTGGGGGCAGGGACTCACTAAATGTACAGCATTTTGAACCACAAAACTTGCAAATCTCGCAGTAACTTATTAACAATAACACCCAAAGCAAAAGCAAATACTATCTTTGCAAAAACTGATTGTCATTATGCTTATTTTTAGAAACTAAGTTTATGGCTCTTTTTTCCCCACCACAGAATTAAATTGGATTGCCATTAAGTATCTGGACTGTCATTAAATAACTAGACCAGAAAATCTGTCACGCAAGCCTTTCATTAGTGACAGGCATTAGTCTGTTGCGTATCTCATGATAGCAGCGCATCAACTTTCCCTTTTTGAAAAGCATCAGCAAGATTTTGGGAAGCTGTACAGCACTGTTGCTTTCTTTTTCACTTCATTAATCCTTCAGAGAGTTTTGATTAATCCAAAGGGAGACTGGACACCTCCCATCACCTCATGAAAGCCCCTTTGCAAAATCAGAAAGGATTCCCTATTATGTTCACCCATCATCACTTCAGTGCAAGACATTCCTACCACTGATGCCAGGTATTCAGCTGTGAGCAGCAGGAGATGAGAGGCTTTGCAGTCCAGGCAGGTGAAGGCTGAGGGACAGCCAGGTCAGATATGCATAGCAAGGTGCAAGACTGTTATTCCAGCTTATATACTGACACCTATTAATTTCAACATCTTGTAAATTCAGAATTAACAGAATTGCCACTGATATTGCCCTCCACTACTCCTATGCCGATAATAAGGGGTCAGGTGAGGATAACCTTCTATTACTGTCAGCTTTTCCAATTTGCAATGATTTTTGAAGTAGTTAGTTTTATTTATCCAGACGATTTTCATTCCTGGGAACAAAGTGGTCTTTACTGCCTAGAGCTCAGGTAGATTGACACAGTGTAATTAAATCTTTCATACTCTTGCAAGTAAAACTGCTTTTAAATGAGTGCACAGCTGCCTGTGTGTGCTTGATGTATTTGCTTCCAAATTATTTAGCTATTACTATAGATTCCTCACACTGTGCCAGTGAAATCTCCAGAATCTTATGCATTTTGTCAGAACTTATTAGAGCTACTAAGAAATTTGTAGAATTTGCATAGAGAATTTAGTAACACTGGAAAGTAGCCTACAGTAGCTATGTCTAAAAGTGCTGGAATAAAAAAATCATGACACGTGAAAATGTCACATGAATCTTCTGTTGCTTAAAAGTGACACTATTTATTACAAATACAATCACCAAAATAGGTATTTGAGCATGATAAAACACGTTTGCCACTCTCCTTCAGCCACACAGTGCAGTCACTACCAGTGTTCTTGTCCTTATCCAAATGCTGTCAGGAATATTTTGAAGACACTAAAAAAATTACCTAAGGAACAAAAATATTTGACATTACAAAGAATTATCTACAGGGTCAATCTCATGGCCTCTTGCCATTTACATCCTTTCTGTTTATGAATGTATCTTATAATCAAACTGCACAACAATCACCTTAACTGTACAAGTAAAATTGCTGTATTTTGCTTTTTGTTCTCTTTCTTACAAAGTTGTATTTTTCTTAGACTCTTTTTTGCAAAGCACAGGTACCAGGTCTACTGTTTTACTGCCTCGAAGATCAAGTTTTTACCTTCCTTTACAATTCTGAGCAGTATTTTCTGATCTTTTATATTTAAATATTTTGCATGATGGAATTAAAGGTCTACGATTTGTCCACTTTAATTTCCAGTAATTAATAAATAAAACTTTTTCTACGTATCTACAAGGGTATTTGCTTCACTGGGGAAAAGCAGGAGAGAAAAACCTTATCCAGAAATTTTTGGGATACATTTACATTAAGTTAGTTTCTATTTTATTTCTAGTCCTTTAGGTAAATTTTAACCTATTAGAAAACAACTGTTACTACCATAAGTTTGGACTCTCTCATCATGCATCTTTTCCATGATTTAAGCCTATGCAGTTCATCAAAAAATGACTCAGTATGCTGTTTAATCAGCAATTATTTTTGGCTATCAGTCTTGTATAATGCCATCCTTCCCCTTATATCTCCCAAAATACATATCGTTCTGACTAGTAAACGATCAGCCTCTACTGACTCACTTCAGTGTTTAAAAAAAACTTACCAGCACCTTCTTCAAGTGACTAGGGAAGTCACTTGTGATTCAGCGAATCCATTCAAAGTATTCTTTGGCTATTTCACTATTTCATAAAAACCTCAGACATTCAAATTCCCTTATCACAGAGGCCTACAGGAAAGGTCTGATGAGCTTTTGATTCAAGATCTCAACATCCATCAAAACAGAGTGAGAACTTAAAACAGATTCTGCAAAAGCCATGAAAAAAAAAAAGAAATTGGCTTGATCTTTATATTGGGTAGGTAGGGACTTTTATAACTAATTTATCTGGAAAAAAATATATAAATTTGATATAATCTTATCCCTTTAATCTGTGGGGCACTGTTGAAATGGTAATTTTAAATTCTGCATTTACTTATACCACTTCTTTGTAATTCTTTCCACAAGATAAAGTTTTAGCATTTTAAGATAAATACCAGACTAGCAGCTTCCTTACACATATTCTCACGTGTGTGCACGAATACACAGGTCTCCTAGTAACTTACCGTTTAGCTCATTTAAGTGATTCCCCGTCCCCTTAGCACCTCTGAAGTGCTATCTCCATGCTTTTAAGATTCTTGTAATGCATTTTGCTCCTAGTAACTTACCGTTTAGCTCATTTAAGTCATTCCCCTTCCCCTTAGCACCTCTGAAGTGCTATCTCATCTTCATGCTTTTAAGATTCTTGTAATGCATTTTGTGTTACTTACATGAGATTTCTCTCCCATTCTTGTGTCACTCAATCATTATTTCAGGCACTTACTTCCACATATTCTCACCAATGCTGTTGTTTTCAATTAAATGCAAATTCAGTACAAGTTAAAATTTTGAGTCTTCAACATTCCTATAGATCTAACTGTGTGAAAATAGTTTAGCCTAATGAGGGACTATTCATACTGAGAATTTATATAACTGGTTTAATGATTTCAATAAAATACATTATTTTATTATAATGTAACTGTGGTTGTAGGAAGTACGACGATACCCTCTCTTTCTTTAAAACTAACAATCTTCTCTCCTTGGGTCTAGGTAATTGGGAAGGATAAATTTTGCCTAATGCTCTCCAGCATAGAAAGCAAATCCTGCAAGACAATTTCTTGCAAATAGATTAAAAGAAACTCTGTAATCTGATAGCAAAGCAAAACCAAGGTAATAGTTTCTGAAGTACTCCATATGTTTCTATTTAATTCCTCTTAGGCGGTATCGATCACTAACTGGTTTTGAAAAGAACTTTCTAAGCACAGTGATTTGAATTCCAGGTAAAAGGCAACTTTTACGAAGCAGAAGCCACTAGTGGGCAGAAAGGTGAGGCTGACTTTGTTATTGCTGACTAAAAGGAAAGTTACAACAGACATCTGCTTCAGAAGATCTGGACTAAAATAAAGTTACTATATTGCATAGTAGAGCACGGAGGAGACCCCACTGTTTTCAGAACTCTACAGCAAGGACCCGGACTCCACATCACTTGAATTTTGTTTTTTGAACGATGTGTTAAATATAGATTAAAAAACCCCACAAGTCTGACTGCAATGAAGTCTGCAAACCACAAAGAGATCTGCAAAGTGACTGCTTGTTAAACACCGTTTCTTCAGTATCTCAGGTTAGTCCAGACACAGCACAAAACAGCATCCATGGAGACATGCCAAGCCTTTTTCCATTGAGATCCCCCACTCTCTAGAGGCATGGTTTTATGTAATTGTTCACAGACACGTGACATATCACTTTTGAAGAAAACTGAATAAAATGTCTGCAGTGGCCTGATACCAACAGGCAGAAGAGTAGAAGGACAGGGGGATATACCGGAGAACATACTGGCAAACTTCTTACTGCATGGCTGGGAAAACTGACCAATTCTGTCAAATCATCAGCTTGGTTATTACAAAAGACAAGTATCCTTCCATTTTGGGGCAGCAGAGGCAACAGGAAGAAGAAAATGTGAAAAAGCAAGCAAATAAAATCTCATATTGAAACCTCAGTAAAGTAATTGTCCCTTTATCTATGTATACCAAGGAACACAGATCCACCTGGAGACCAGCAACCTCTGAGAGTTAAATCAGTCTGGTCAATAAAGCATAAAATGGACAGAAACAGCATCTTAAAAGCTATTTTCATGATCAGAGACACTGTTAAATACTCACACAAGAACATTCTAAATCAGGCAAAGCCAGGGAGTTTTCAAGACAAGATAAACAAAAGAGTCATTGAGGGCAAATCATTAAAGGATTCTTAATATAAACAATTTATTTTAAAAATCTGCAGTTTCTCTTCCTATCAAATCTCTGATTATTTTTCCTCTGTTACATATATATTCTTCAGGACAAAGAAGGTGTCCTCTAGGATTGCAAATGGCTTAGTATATAGCAAATGCTGCCCCAGATGTGCTTTCTGAGGTTTTTGGGTTTTTCCATCCAGGTGCCAACTTGCTCAGTCAAGTCGGATGCAGGGCTTTCTGAAGCCTATGTAATGTTTCATTGTCAAACTAGCATTGTTTTAGGAAGGACACTGTCAAAGGCACAAAGATGGATTTTACAGCAATTGAATTATGTCTATTTTAAAAAAATAGATGCCTACTTACAGGAGAAAAACACTGCTTTTACCTTACTGATAAGTGTGACGACATCACCTTCTCGGATTGTGAGTTCATCATCATTCTGTGCTTCATATGGAAATATCACTTTGCAATACTCCTTGGCTGAAAGGAAGAACATTCAATGTGATAAATTACCACTTTATAACAACTGCTTATCCAAGGGAGAAAATCTTCCTAAAATGTTCCACAAGTGTCTCTTTAATTTTCTTGCCATTTTTCTCTGTATTTTAAGACCTTCATAAACAGTAGGAAATATTTAAAAAACTGTACACTGATGAACGTTCCCGTACACGTCATCCAGGGAGTTGGCTCTGTAGCCCCGAGAACCATTGTCTCAAATGAAATTGCTCCACATGGCAACCTGACACAAGCCCTTTCCCTTAGAGTAAGCCTGTATCTGACACTTGCTTCAGGAGTTCCACTGGTATGGCCTTCCATCATATCACATAAACTGGAAGCATAAAGGACCAGTAGGTTGACATAGGTTATCTATCCCCTGGTGTGCAAGAAAGCAGATATTTCAGCATCTATAAAGATGATAAAATGATAAATAATACATTAATAAATGTAAAGGTTTACAGTTGGACTCCATCTTAAAGGTCTTTTCCAGCCTAAATTATCCTATGATTCTATAACTAAACCTTCTGTACCCTCAGCATAAAAGTTTTGAATATTAGTCTAAAGTTTCCTCCTGCCTTTTCCCTTTACTGTCTATAAATAAGGGCATCATCTCAACTTTCATCTGGAAAATACACGAGCCAGCACTCCTACTCAGAAATCATAAAAAGCAGTTGTCATGAAAAGAAGTTACTTACAACATGTTGCTGTGCAACAGACAAGTATGTCAATGTGCCTTACAAATAAAAAGGGAATATGTATTCCAGCTGTTAAATAATGTATAAAAATATGTGATACTCTAAGACAGCAGGTTTAAAAAGACCAAAGAAACGTGCACAGAAATTACCGGACCCTTTGTAGAAGGGCATGTGACTGTGTAGAATTGTTCACCTCATTTAAATGTCTCAATTTTGATAACCTCTACCTCTAGTCAACTGTCATATTCAATACAGAGAAACAGGTAGTTGCAGGCTACAGAAATCTAAATTAATTTGAAACACCAGGACCTATTTCTTTATACTCACTATGAAGAGAACCTGTATCATCACACTTGGGGGTATGTGAAGCTCCAGCAGGGGGTTAGTTCAGCTGCCCATGCACTAAATGCCATTTCAGACACTCATGGGTACATAAGACACCCACATGGTTGGCAGATATGATGCACAACCTATGGAAGAGCCAGGTCCCTCTGGTCTGGCAGCTGGAGGCAAGACAAAATACCCTGGGGTATCTCAAACAGCTCCAGATGCAGCCTTCACTCATGAGTTTTCTGGCTTTTGCTCCCCCTATTCTCTCCCCTATGGGGGAACAAGTGGCTGGGTGGAGCTTAGCTGCTGGTTGGTGTCAACCCACCATAGCCCCCCTGATGTCTCTGAAGAAACAAAGAGTCAGATGAAGACAATGAACATGATCTTTCAAAAAAAAAGGAAAAAAGCAATCCCTTTCCCTGTTTCTGAGAGCACGGAACATTGTCAAATAAATATTTGGTAATATTGCCAAATGAATGGTCACGTGAGACCTGCCAGGTCACAACTCGGATTTCAGAGGATTAAAGGGGTGTCTAACTGCTACTTTACTGCATTCTGGAGGAAGGGTTTGGATCTCTCTTTGTGGACTCAGCTAGGATGTTTTATCTGCTCACTGTCTTGTCTTCAAGATAGTACAGTAACATTTTATGTAAAAGCTGGTAGAAAGTTGACACATACTGAATTAGGTCAGGCAGATGCAGAGCAGCATGTAAGATAAACATGAGATTCAGCACATTTTTACACTTCAGTGTGTACGCTACCTTAAATAATAATGTTAGTGTTTGGTTTTGTTCCCCCCACTCCCCTTCCTATTCTGACAGTATCCACATCTGGAAAAACAGCTTTCCTAAATAATAGACTCAGTGAATTAGTGTAGAGATGATGTAGATATTATACTGCACTAAAGAAGCTGAGTGCTGCACACTCAAGGAAGTCTCTAGTTACTGGAAACAGGCTTATCACTTTTTTGGGATACAGAACAGAAGCCAGGCTGGGTTCTAGGAGGCAAACACCACCTTGGCCCAAGAAGGATCATTCCTGGATGTCCAGTCTCAAGTACAAACATTGTTCCTCTGTTCAATAAGAGTATAATCTCAAGATTAGATGGGAAGCCAAGCACAATGCACAGCTAATCAACAGAGAAGAACAGCCACTACACCACAGTAACGGCACTACTCTGAAAGGATGCCAGCGGTGCAGCTCTAGCCCAAGGTGCGGATGAATCCCATGTGTTTCAGGTTAAAGAATTCTTTAAATAGCAAGTGTCTGGGGGGCTCATGCCTCCTGAGCCCTACAACAAGCAATCCTCCCTCAGCTCCCCCTTGCTATTTGAAGACTGAATTTGAATCATCTTTCAACACAAAGACCCCCACAGACAAGAGTGGAGAGAGGGCTGTAGTTTCAGCATCCGAAAAAGTCAGCTGGTAATCAGGAAAAAAAGCGCTTTCTTCTAATTTTTTTTTACCTTCTCCTTTCAAAGTATGTGTCAATGTGGATCTCACAGTAAGTGGTTGTCAAAAGCAGCAAGATGTTAGCCAAATAATTCATAGTCCTTTCACTCACAGCAAATGGCTACACATCTTTGCCTCCTAGTTTTGATGTCAAGAACTCTGTTCTCCCATGACATGTCCCTATCCACCCTCCCCACCAAGCTCTTATCTTTTTTCTTTCTTTCTTTTTTTTAAATACCCAGGTAGCAGAGAAACAAGGAACTAAACTAGAGAAAAATGCCAAAACTCAGATCTTAAGCTCAGCCAAATGCTGATGCAGTTCATAAAGAACCAAGAGACAATCTTGTGAGAGGCCCAAGATGGAGCTGGGGGAGGCTCACGGCCACACCGTGCTCTGAAGGCTGGTACAAGAACACAGGGTGAGGGTACAGCTGTGGAAAAATTCACTGTTTATGTATAGTAGAAGTTTGGACTCCTTGAGTATGATTCACACTGACATACACTAAATCAATACATTCCTCTGCCTAACATGGACTCTGTGGATCACGTTGCAATGGAGCTAGGTCTCAACAACATGGATGGGTTTGGAACAATTTAAGTTACTGGATAAAGTCAGCATTCAAACTTCTCCTAAGGGAATGACAGACCAACATGATGTAAGTAATTAAAGGTAAAGCCAACAGGACTCAAAATAATATGGAGCTTTAAAATCAGATTAATAAAAGCAGAGGAGAATCTAATGGGTTATGTCACTCTGTTCTAAAATTGTCCTTACTCAGCAGAGCACAATACCGCAAGAGGATGTAGAAGCACTTAATTTCAACAATTATGTTTACATAGGAAGGAAGAACAGAAAAAAGGAAATTCTAATTTCAGACACATCATTGTAGCGACCACACTGGAACTTGCTGAGTTTGGGGGTTTTCCAAGTAAAAAAAAAAAAAAACAAACCCAAAAAAACAACCCACCAAAAACCTAAAGGTCAAAATAATATATCCTATTATAAGCCTGGTAAATAGACTTAAGCCAAATTAAAGCTTCAAACTGAGATACCAATATTAAGCATCTCCCAACTGTAGATGATAAATCTCATTTTTATATTTGACATCCAAGGCTGGATTTACACATCTGTAAGCTGCAAACCCACAGCTCCTCTCAAGCAAAGGAGAACAACCTGGCATAGGCAACAGGAATTGCTTGGGGAACTGGGTGAGCAGATAAGCCTTACAGCATCTTACAACTCAAACAGGCTGGATCTAATGCAGGTTGTTCAGCTTCTGGCCTAACATGTTCTGAACTTGGGCTGGGAATAATTCCATTTGAAAATATGTACCCTTGGCTACATCCTATGATTTTTGAACTGTACTGCTCCTACTAGACTAGGTACAATTATGACACAACAATAAGCATCTTCTCTGTCCATGTCCCTCATAGTTTTGTCCTTTGGAAGGAAGAACAAAGCCATTGCTAGCTTCTCTGGCAGACCCCAAGGGCCCAGAGTGACATGTAATTCCCCTTCCCAGCATCATCCTTGTAGCTCAGAAGTTGGAAGAAAAAGCATCAGCAAAGAACTAGATATTGATCACAAGTGGTCTGCCACTGCCCACAATTCATTGAGAAAAAAGTCTCAGGCCCATCATAAACACTGTCCTCTAAAAAGAACTGGATGCTTTATGGAGGTAGTTAACATGCATCTCTGTTCAGCACCTTATGCCCCACAGTCTGTTGTGAGTTCAAAATGTGGTCTGTTTGATACAGTCTCAAGCTTCCTAAAAAATGATTGCCTCAAAGAAGATCACTAGCAAGAGGTAGCCTTCCTAAAGGATACAGCGTCTCATTACCCAGGCTGTTGCAAGCACTGTATTTCGCTCACAGAATTCAGTGGTTCAATATGTATTTACAATTACAGTGTCAAGCACTGATTTCAATGTATAGACCTGCTATATGATTTGGGGTCCCGCAGTACTGTAGCAGGTAAATTCATTTGTTTGTATTTTGACAGATCGGTTGAATATTATACTGGTCAATCCAGAACTGAGCAAACTCAATTCACTCTATCAGCGGACCCTGTTCACTTTAAAAGCATGCCGCTTCTACTTGTTCCCCTGCCGGACTCTTCAGATGAGCTGTGATGTCCAAGACAGCAGTCCACAGACAAATATACCTTCAAGCTTAAATTTCACAGAGAACGGTGACTCTGGACTTTGCCTTTCCTCTGAGGCCAGGATGACACCATTTCCTCCTCTTACCTCTGCTGCTGCTTCCTTTTTGTTAGGCAAGAACTGTTCCACCCCATGGCAGGATTTCCCCCATCTAAGGTAACCTCACCACTGGGCTGGATTCACCCTTCTAACTTTTCAGAAATTCATTCTTTATTTATTTATTTATTTATTTATTAGTAAACCAAACAACAAACCTGTACAGTTGATTTTTGAGGCCTAAAGATTTCCCTCTTGATGAAGCCTAAACCATACAGCACCCAATATGGACACAAACAGTGACACTAAGTAAGAAAACAAGGAGCATTAGAATAGTATTCCTTGAGCTTGAGAGTCCTAGCTTTAGCTATCACTCACAAAATGTTTCTGAAATGGAATGAAATGTACAAAATCTAGTGAAAAATTACATCATTTTTACCAAAAACACAAACCAGAGGAAAAAAACCAAACACTTCAGCAGAATTTGGTTTTACTATTAACTGCTACACCCAGGACTCATAAATGGATTGCACTAA